GGCTGGCCTGGCCCTGGCCCTGGCCCGGTAAAATGGAGGCTTCGCGGCGAGGCGTGCTGAGCGCGCCTGGCTGGGGCGTCCTCGGTGAGACTGGGCTCCGTCACTCGGGAGAAACTCGGGGCAGACTGAGAGGACAAGGTGCCAGTGCAGGGGCCGCTTTCCGAAACTTGGAGCGTTCTTTTTTGTGAGCTCAGAGTTACAGCAAAGAAAAGCAAGACAGCGAGTCTGTTCGCTGTTCTGCTTCTGGGTAGGTACAGCCTGCCACGAAACCCCCATGCTGTCCCCTCGTAAGGATGGCTTTCCTAGGGAAGATAAAATGCCAGTGCAGTCGGCTAGAGCATCTTGAACTAGACACTGTATTTTTAAGCAATTTATGCTAGAACAAGGATCTTCATATATTTAACAAAGCCATCTCCAAGGTGTTGCTCATCTTTCACCCTTCAAGCTTAGAAGTTTAAGATGAAAATTTTCCAAATTATTTCTCATTCTAATATTGTGTAACTTCTTTAGGAAACCAAAAAATTATGATGAAACTTGTATAAAATTATTTGGCAGCATTCTTTCTTTTTGATGTAGTTGCATCCTCAGTACAGAGCGTGCAGTGAATTCTAATGCCAGCTTTTCTTCTGACTAGGTCTCTCAGGCTGCAGCAGATTTGAAGCAGTTCTGCCTGCAGAATGCACAACATGATCCCCTGCTGACAGGAGTATCATCAAGTACAAATCCATTCAGACCCCAGAAAGTTTGTTCATTTTTGTAATTACATGAACTACTTTGGTATCTTTCAGTGGTAAGTTCTTGAATTACGATTCATAAACTCTTCTGTCATTAAAAATAGCTGGCTTTAAATGAGACTGCCTTATTAAAAGTATTCAGAAGAGACATCTGACTTGTGCAGCTAGTGCTGGGTCTCGATCCCCATTTCAGGCCGCTCTCCCCCTTTTCGGGTGGTAGCCCCGTACCAGACACACACTGTTCATCAGTGTTACGAGTGGCTCTGCCAGTTTCTGTTGCTGGGCGACCAGCTGCTACTGGGTTGGTGGTTGTACAGTAGTTCTGCTGTGTCTGCTGTGTCTTCCTTCTGTGGAAGGGTATTATTTCCCTTTTCTCATGAAAAAGATCATCCCCAGATGGCATACGTGGTGAATCCTTATTGTGGCAGGTAAAGCGGACTTTAGTTCTTAAACTTTTAAAGAGCCCTTCTGAAGATAGGCTCAGGGTGGTCTCCAGGAGCAGCACTGTCCCCTACAGGATACGCCCTCCGAGTCTAAAGAAGGAAGGATGTAGTCCAAGAGTTGCATCAAGGCCCACACGCCACTCAAATAAGCTACTACCTGGGTAGCAGTTTAAGTACCTAGGAACAGCTGAATACTCATTTGGTTTTTCATTCCAAGACCTATGTAAGTTCATTAGCGCTACTGCTATCGCTATGAAGACTACTAGTTGGCATTCCTTGAAAGTTCTGGTGATTAGATTTTAGACTAACCTATTTAGAAGGGCAAGTGTTAGACCCATAGTAGTCTCACCAAGACTTTGAGTCACAGTAATTTGGTATTTTGCCCTCAGTAAATGCATGATAATTGTACTGCATCCCTCTTCCCCATTGTCCCTTGGCTTGGATCTGTTGGGGGTGAAAGGATGTATGCTGTTTCAAAGCAACAGATACACAGTTAACCATAGTTCACAATCCTTAGAAATCTCACAGCGTGTCTTAACCTTGAATAATTCTGTTTTTCTAGCTGACTTACATCACCCAAAGAAATGCAGTTTGCTTGATTTCAGTTGTGTTATTTAGGCAGCTTTATAGAAAGGTGACCACAGTCAGACTGAGTTGTTAAAATTGTTCTCCCCTCAAGCAGACTGTAGAAAGCTTCCAAAAAGTTTGTGTATAAACAAGGTGGTTCACGCTAGTGAAGACCAGAGTAGTAACGATATAGAGTTTGATGCTTAACTGTTCTAACAAACAAAACCACCTCCCCTGTTGTTCTGAGCAATGAATTATAGCAGCGTAACAGATGTGCTTTAGAGTTAGTGTAGCTTTTAAAGTTATTTCTATTGTGAATTTTATCAGTTATTTTTACTTAACAGATACTATTCTTGAGCACTGACTTGTGTTCACACTCCTGTAGCTTCAGTTTTGGGCAGTAATTCAAGGAAGAAGTCAGATCATCTGTAAGCATTATAGACTGATAACCTACAAAAACCCAAATAAACCGTACTTTGCTCAGTGGCACATACCGTTCCCCACTCAGCTTTGTCAAGGCCTAGTAATTCTGGGCTGTGGATGTCAGGAAGTACTGTGTCCTCTGTCTCGCATGCATGCATACACAGGGCATAAAAGGCTTAATATTCTCTATCTCAATTACAGTTCTTACCTTCCCCCTTCCTGATTTTGGAACGGAGCACTTGTTTCTGCTGATGTTACAAGCAAAAGTCATTAGAACAGCAATTTTAGTTACACTGCCTACATGGAAAAAGTCTTTCCTTCACTGTATCTCTTTCAAGCACTTCCTCAAAATAGTCAGTTTCTTAGCTGTAAACCTGGTGTTTTCAGGATGAGCCAACAGAGCTCACATTTGCACAGTCAGCACCACCTCTGTGAAGAGGAAGTGTAATTTGTTAGTTACGCAGCCTCCCCCTACTTTTCAAATGCTAAGTCGATGCCTGGTATTTCTGTAGGCACCAAGAGACTAGAACAACTTTTTCTGTCCTTCCACTGAGCAGTCTGGCTTCCAGGAGATCCTAAGCGTCAGTTCTTTTATAACAGCTTTGATTATCTTTTTTTACCCTTGGGGATAGCTTCATGGTTTTAAAAGTTTATTTTATAAACTAATAATTTTATAAAACAGCTGTGGAAAAGAGGATTTATTTTTTTCTAAGTAGCTGTCCACGGCATATTCTGAAGGTACATATGTGTTTGTAGAGATTGACTTGCTTCATTTGGCACTGATACTCTTCTAACTACATTTTGGTTTTGTTTTTCAGATCTTTTAGCATCTTTTCCTAGCTGCTGATGTGTGTATGGGCAGAGTGCCTCAAGGAGTGGCCTGGTTTGAAGTCTGTACAAAAGCTTAGCTTTAACGTGCCAAATCTAACTGTAAAATTGCTACTGTCGTCAAACCTCTTACCATCTACCTCTCCAAATGAACTGTATGCTAGTTACAATACTTCTGTTTCATAAGGGAATCAGTTTTATATGCCAAGCAAAAAATAAAAGTGTCTTGATTTAGTCTGGTCTTGAAATTACTGTAACAGGTTGATTAACTTCTGGATATACTGACACCTCACCAGCGTGTCTTTAAATACGCCGTGCTGCTGCAAGTTTGCCTGGGGTTGACAGTCGTACAGAACAATGAGGCTTCATCAGCACTATACTCAAAAGTGTAATAGAACAGAACAAAAATTTTTGGCTGTTAGTTTATAATTCAACTATACAGCTGTCCCATATCGTAGTCATTAAATAAAGACAAAGAGTAACTTAGTTATTCTTCATCTTAAAGAGTAATTCTACTCTAGTAGATGATTTGCTCTATGAGCGATCTTACTCTTCAGGTAAATATGAAAAAGCACTTCTTATAGCTGCATACTAAAATAAAGTAATTCAAAGAAAAGTTAGCTTTTTTAGCTGCCAGTGAATGTGCAGACTTAAGGCAGAACAGTAGTTTATTCTGCAGGTAATACCAGCCGGAGTACAGCTATGAGGCTGAAGAGGCATTTTTAAGATTTTAATGGGAAAAATCCTGCGCAGAGACCTCACGCGTTCAACTGAGCAGCACTGTTAGATGATGTAGCTTTATGTACTTCCTGCAAGCTGGCCTTACAAATTCTTTCCCATCAGTGTTTATTTCTTTTCTTATACTTTATATATACTCATACACCTCTTCTAAATACAACATTTACAGAAGAGATCCCTGTAGGAGTCAAGTACATTATTGCTGTAACTTCAGCAACATGGCTATTTTATGCAAGATGTTAATGAAATAAAACACCACAGACTTCCTGGATTGCATACAGCCTTCTCAGTGTTCTCTAGGTAGGAGACCATTTTTGGAAAATTATCACCATACTGTCAGGAAACAGTATACTGGGAGTTAGAGATTTAACATATTTCTCTCTTACCTGATCAGTGGAAGACATCTGGATTTAGCTGCTTAACAGAAAAAATGCTGTGTAACTAAAAACATTTTATTTTGAGAATAACAAAAATGTTTACTGTCTTTAATGTTGCAAAGTGTAATTAATCTCTACAGCACAGCAGCAATCATGGCAAATCTTCTATGATAGCTAAATTACAGGCTGCTCTGACATTGCTGTAGTTTTTCCTGCTAGACTGGAAAGAGTCACTGTCCTTGTCATGTTGGATTTAGCTGCAAACATAGGAAGAGAGAGATGCGTCCTACTTGATCTGCTCCTGTAGACAGTTTTAATGTTTGCGGTTTGTCTTTCTGCAGACAGATACTGTTAAGTATCGTTATCATTAGTTTAGAGTCTGAGATAATCCACAGTTCAAAGCAGTTGTATTTCTGGTCATCAGCAACTGGGAGATAGCTGTCCCTCACAAGTGAAATTTTCTTCTACTTGTGTCCATTTCTCGGCGCTGAAATTTAAAAGAAAATTTATTAACCAGCAAATTCATGCAACAGGATACAAACAAGGATGACCACTCCAGTTTTGAGAAGGGTAGGCAGTGAAATGTGTCACAGTCACAGTGTAGCTGAGTGTTTATAGCCAGCTTTGCAAGACTAACAAGGGAGAAGAATTAGAGATTAGCGATTTAGAGCTAAAGAACAAGTAGCAGCTCTCTGTCTACTGACAGTAGACAAAGTGTCTTTTAAACAAGCAAGATTATCCGTTTCAGGGACTACACCAGGAGCACTGGAATTTTTGTTCCAGTACAGCTTGGATACTCAAGTTTTGCCAATCAACTGAAATTCCATGGTAAAAATGACTGGAAAAATAATTTATCATTGCCTAGAGTAATACTTCCATTTCACTCGGAGATGTGCAGAGGTCAATGTTACTTTCCATTCACTATTAAGAAGTGACATTTATGTAAATAGCTTAAATCATTTTTACATGACAATTCCTGCACTCACCCTGCACAAAAATAGCTCTAGTCAAGTTTACTAGGCTTCCAATAACAGCTTATACCAGGGGAGCATTTTTCACATTTGCTTCTATCTGTATATGTTAAAGAAATTACATTCTGCACATAAGTAGTCATGGCATATTGATATTCATCCTTGCTATTTTTATTTTTGATTTACAATATAGCAGAATGCTTCTACTTTGCATATTTCTCAAAATATACCCCTAAGTACTAGTTAAACACTTGCGTGTGGAGAACTGCATTTCTACCACTTTTTTTAGGCCAAGATTTGTGGTTACATGCATGTCAGATTTAGTCTGCCTACCCAAGCAGGACTATTATTATTACTTAGACATACCTTATGAATCCATTCATATTCTCCAAATTTGGAATCAAAGGTTCCTTTTTGAAGAGACCTCAGCTTTAATGTAAAACGCGGCCCAAGTTCTTGAATTCCCACTTTCTTTTCACTCTTGAAGATGTATCTTGGGGAAGAAAAAAAATAAAAATTAGGAAGTAAGTTATAAGAACGTGCTCTCTCATTTGTGAGTTTTGGGGAAAATGTCACCTGTGGAATCTGAAAAAGATGTAGTCTCGCTGGTTATGAAATGTAGCTACTTGTCTTCCAATGAACTGAGGATCGTGTGGGAAGAGAGAAGCAAACATACGACCAACAGAATGGCCCAGTCGTGTTGTAAAATTGTTGAGGATTACTTCAGGTATGTGTTCTGTGGGCTCCTTCCCTTTTCGCTGAAACAAAAGCAATAGATAAGAATGCAAAGAACAGATTGAATGCAAAAGGATTTTAATATATTATCAAACAACAGATTGAAATAAAATAGGGGGAAGACAACCAGGGCCAACCTCTTGTAACAGGGCTGGTAAGATGCCCTAATCATTTCTTCCAAACACAACCTAAGTTCGTATAGAAGTAAAGGAGCAGCTGGTAACACAAGGATCTTTAGTTCAACAGTATAAATTGAATGAAAAAGCACAAATTAATAATTTTACTCCTGCACGAATTTCCACTCCTGGCAGCACCCATTATAGCAAATAACGCAGACTACCTACAACAGGAGTCTTCTCTCTGTACTAACGCCAGCTAGGAGTATATGGGATTCTTCTTTAATAAGAACAGATGAGGTTTAAAAATTACTTATTTCAAAAGAGAAAAAAAAAGAAACTTTTTACTGCAAATTATTTAGAGCTAAGTAAGCAATACTACAGAAGAGGTGACAGGGCTGTAAGAGTAAAAAAAACTTGTTTTATTCCAGACTAGGAACTACATCTACTGAAATCTCTTACACTGCTGATTTTCATACACCCTATTGTGTGTATACCATACGCAGAGTATTCCCTATTGATATAGGTTATCAGCTGCTATTTATTGGCATGACTACAAAAATACTTGGCAGATAGTTAAAGAAATTCAGCAAATATGAAAATGGAAATACGTTGCTTATGGAAGCAGAATATGCTAGTCCTTGGCCTCCTGTTAGCTTACAAAAAAACACGTTTACAAGGTCAGCTGAATCATACAAAAGTGCAACCAGTTTTGACAGTTCAAGCAGACTGAACATATTTATCACTAAACAGCAGAATACCCATTTTTCAAAATTTTGTTGGAGTCTTACCTTTATTTCTTTACGCAAACGGACACTACTCATTCTAAAATGAGCAGTTGGACCATCAGGCAGATGACTTAAGAGAAGACCATCTGTTCACCGCGTTAAAAAAAAGGCCTGGTAAAATTCAGCATGTATTTACAGAGGAAGATTTTCTGCAAAATGCAATGTTACATTACACTATTATATCTATAACCTATGCCTGATTTACAAGGTTTTTGAACATACATTCATAAAGTAGTTAACTAGTGTGCTGAAGTACGTCCATTAAATTTTGCTTCAATAACTAACCAGTTATCTTCTATCGCTTTCTCACTTACTAATTAGTAATGTTTTATCTAGTCAGCAAAACTAAATAGAACTTCCTGTTCAGAAAAACTTTTTAATTAATCGAACTGTTAAATTTACTGGAATAATAACGTTTATCCATGCATTACAAACTAAAAAAAGAAAAAGCCCACACACTTTCTTTAATAATTCCAAGTTGCATTAGCCATCAGATATTCAAGTTGGCACAGTGATTTTTAACTCCGTAGTTACGCTGTAAACTGCACAGTGAACAGAAAAAAATCCAGAATAGATCTTCGATGCACACTACAGAATTATTTTCTTTCCTTAATAGGCCCAGAACTAGTGTATCTATTTTAATAAATACAGAAAAGGATACTTGGTATTTTGCGATCTTCATTAATGACAATTAAATCTGTAAAGTCCCTTGCAATACACTGTGGAATAATTCTTTTCAAAGCCAGTCCCCTTCGATAGTAGACATGCGAGTTAGGTATAACAGTAGACAGCTGTTCACAGAATCTCACTGTTCTCTGCAAAACACAGGAGTTACATTGCAATGTGGTAAATACAGTGCCAAATTCAAATATTAGGGGAATGGAGGGTTACTCATTCCAGCTGCCCTCCCTGATGATGTATTACTTGAGTATCTATAAACATTTGAAGACAAGCTACTAAATTACTTCATTCAGTCAGTGGAAAAAAAAAAAAAATATTTGCAGTAGAGACTGCAGCACACCAGGGACTTTTTTTTAAAGGTTTATTTTTTCCCTGCCTCAATCACGGAAAAGCAGGAAAATTCCAAAAGCATAACCTCCAAACTTACTATTTATTACAGACATTGGTCTACAAAAACTTCGTAACATTTCAAAATACAATATAACACTTGCTTCAGGTACTAATGTCTGAGTTTCCAGATAAACCGAGGTGTACTTTTTTCCTGTTCTTAAAACCACTTCTAAGGTTTTCACAAATGTCAGTAATCTCCCCAAGTAAGTAATGTAGATCATTTGCACACAAAAACACATGCATGAAGTTGGTTTTTGTTAGGAAGGAAACAACCGGTGTTAGAGAAACTAATAGATTACATATATATACACAAGGTTATTGATAATCACTAAATAAAATGGCAGGAAAAAAAAAATCCATGTGAAAGCTATTATTTTCAGCTTTAATTTACTGACCATAGTGTGAAAACCTTGCTCAGAACTCCCCAAGTAAAACATACGTACCCCACGAGGTCTGTCTGATGTTGTAATAAGAATCTTGGGAATTGTCTGTCTGTTGAAGTACGGGGCAAATTCATCAGTTGCTTCGTCAAAAGCAACCTGGAAATACAGAAGTCTTGTTAACCCACCAGGTATGAAATAATTGAAGAAGAATTGTTCAATCTGATCTAAATTCTGATGAAACTGAATTTAGTAGGAAAAATTTCAATTCACAAGATCTATCCTTTAACTAATCACCACATGGCATGTGTATTTTACATCTTTAAGAATCTAGTGTGATGCACATTGGCAGGTTTTACTATCAGTAACAGTAATGCAAAAGGCAGTTATCTGATGCAGATAATGAAAGAATGACATCACCTCTTAGTGAACCCATCACACGTAAGAAGTAATTCATCAACACCTTACCAGGACAGTTGTGAATGTTAAGATTCATCGACCCATTTTATGTCCCCTCTTGGAAAAAAAAATGGTTAACTTAATAGCACATGCATAAGTTAAGCAGTTACCTCTTCATCGTTGGGATCTACAGTTGTCTCATCATACTCTCTTTGATTTTCAATAGTTTTTGGTATGGCTTTCGGGGGTGCCTACAATAAATAAGTTTATTAACATAATACATTAATGTGATTTTTCAGTGTATTGTGAAAAACATATTCGTACTATCATGATATTATCTCTATTTCTATACAGAGTTAGAAGCATTATTTATTTTATGCCAGCTTTTAAAGAAGTCACAACACCACTTTGATTAAAAATATGCACAGGTACTGGGACACCAGAGAGCATCACATGGGAGGAAGAGCATCGCTAGAACAGTGGCACTGCTGAATTTCAATCTAATTAAGAAACGGGGTTCCAAAACAAAACAAAAAAAAGAGAACTTTCTATCCACTTCTCTTCCATGGAAGAAAAAAGCTCTGCTCTCAACAGCAACACATTTTAGCCTTGACATCTACAATTTAACGACCCCCAGCCTGTAACAGTTTACCCTGTTTACCTACACACTCTTACGAGATTGTGATAACGCAGGAACTCATAACTGACTGCCTTCAACAGCCAGTATGCTTCTGAAGTAGTTCAGGAAAAGAAGCAAACCCCTTGTTCGTGGCTAGGCTTGGCAACAAGCAGACAGCTGGTCTGGGCAGGGTTTGGTCAGATCTGATTGCTTCAATTTATACAGAAATCACTTACTGGAGTGTAATTCCCGATAACATCAACACGATGCCATAGCAATTGCATCGGGCAGATAAGACTTCTCAGGAAGGGCCTGCTCTCAAGCCGTTATTTGCTTAAAACTCAGGCTGCCCCACCATTTCACACACCACCACCACCACCGCTTCAAAGCCAGGCTCTGCCACCTCCACCGCACAACAGCGTGCCTCCGAAGGCAGCCGCGGCCACCGGGATCACCGATCCA